AGGAATTTTCAGGGAAGTCTGAAATTGGTACACTTCCCCTTGCCATGAATGAAATTGCTCAGATTTCTTAGAAAGCAGTGCCAGCAATCTATAGTTTTTCATATTCACTTTTAAGGAATCATAAATAACAGATGTTTTCTTGTATTTTCAGCTTCTTTGCAATACCGGCCATGCTGAAGAAAAGCTAGGTTTTACATACGACAGCATCATAATATGGTAGGTAGTAAGGAGCACTAGAGCAATGATGGGGTACTTTAATTGTTCTAGATACAATTAAGCCTTATTTGTCCTTTTGAACTAATATTTTTGTCTTTTTTAATGTGTTTGAAATTTCATAATGCAAATAACATACATTGAAAATGTTTTAATGAGTAAAATGAGAAACGTTGTTTGCTATCAGGCAAAGAGGTGGAAAAAGCCCTCCTACTTCTAAGTGGATTTCTTCATTATATTCATCTCAGTACTTGCAGAAAGCTCTTCAGGTAAAAGCGTGCAACTACAGAATTTAGAGCATACTCTTGATATAGAATCAGGGTTTAAAGATAAACATTTTATGTTAATTTGGTATATATTTATGTCTTCCTAGCATTGCTTTCCCTGCTACTGAAATGCCCTCTATGTCATCTCAAGAGGAATTCTTGGATATTTTGTTGCCGCTTCTGGTAGTCAAAAGTAACTACATGCTTATTTCCAGAACTCTAGTTTTTTTACCCAGACATTAGTAGATTTATCCTGATGATCAGCATTGGTGACAGAAACAGTTAAAATCTAGTATTTAGTAGGATTTTGTGTTCTTTAAATTCAATTATCCAATCTATTAGCTTTTCTAAGCTTGCTTTTGTAACTCTTTAAGTAAAACATTGTGAAAACCTGTGCGATTTCTTGTGGAAAGTGGAACTGTTTTTCCATGCTAGAACTGAAAAATTGAAAAAAATGTTAGTGTCTTTCTTGTGAATGGATATTTTGCTGTAAACTTTAATAGGTTATTATCTGATCTTATTTATGTAATCTATTGCAGTGCTTTGTGATGAGACTGAACATCAGTTACAAGTATAACTTCAAAATTCAAAGTTCTTTACCAAATACTTTAAAAAAACAAGTCTTAAAAGGTTGTGCAAATACTTTGTTTTTATAAGAAGAAACTTGCAGGAAGATCTGGTAACAAACCAGTTATAATAATAATCCAAATGTAATTATGGCTTTTTATAAAGAAGAGATAAAAAAAATTGTTCTCAGCATACACGTGCAGAAGAATAGCCCGCTACTTGGAAAAATGCCAAAAATGGCTTCTCAAAAAAACCCCAACCATATAGATGGAAAATTAGTTAGTCAGTCCAGTGGTAGCTCCACGTACATACATGAAAAGCACATTTTTTATGCATGTTTGTAAGTTATTCTGCTATAGTAATATTTTTCAAACTTGAGGGTACCACTCAAATACTTGCACTTTAAGAACTATAAGCGGGCTGATTGGTGGTTCTTCAGAGATATTTATAGGATGGATTGTTTGTATGAAATACAGACATTTAATGCAAAATTTGCTCTGCAGAGTTAGAACTGTTCTGCAGTGTATTCTGTTTGCAGATTATTTTTATTCTTATGGAAATAGCATGCAAGTTCTCTAATATACTCTGATGGTGTTCCAAATTTTTTTCTTAGATTTCCATAGGGAAAGTTTTTTGTTCTCCAGAACAAATTTGTTTCTCTTTGAAAACTTGAAGTTATTTAAATGCAAGAAATAGCTTGAATTTTCTGCATTTGTGACATATGAATGGCTAAAGCACTGAACTATAAGAGAATCAATTATTTCAAGAATAATTATAGATTTCCTGGAAATTTCTGTTTGGGGTTACTAACCTTAACAGAATGTTTACCCAAAGTGAAGACAGTTGCAGTCTGCAATAATTGGAATTATTCTCAACTTAGAGATCTGGTTTTTAGAACTCGTTCTTTTTTTCACAATTTTGCCAGTCCAGATGCCTGATTATAGTTTCTTCCTGCCAGCAGATGGAGATAATTGTGACACATTTTGTTGTCATTCCCAGTGTAGGTGGGTGTTCCTGGTTCCCAGAGCACCATACCATTGACAGATGAGAGGAAGCCTTGAGCCATGAAGAAAATGGAGTTTTGGTAGGCCTCAGAAACTTTTGAGGCCTCTTAGTGATGTGCCAAGAGGCTTAGGCCACAGAAGCAGAATCAAGAGTATTCACAATTACCTGACTGGATCAAACAGATTTATCAGAACTACGGTTACCATTCTGTAGTAAGTGGATGAGATGCTTCAGAAGGTGCAAAAATGATCCTGTAATAGGTAGTGAATATCTTTTCATATTCTAGTTCTTCCAGACTTTCTGTCACTCTTCATGTTTATAATCCTTAATGCTGCTTTAAGAGGTTATTTTCATTTCTGCAGTTACACTTAAAATACTGAGGCACGTAGTATCGCTCTCACTTTTTCCTTACAGAATCATCATGTGTTTGGGGTACTTTCAGCCACAGATGCATGTGGAGTGCACGTATCAAAGTAATTTTCTTGATCTGATAGCTATGTTCAAGCCACATAGTGTGGATTTGTAACACAGTTTTTTGTCTTGATGTGCATTAAGTCACACTTAACAATCTGGTCGTCTTCTTCACCATCTTGTTGACTGCATACAGATAACTTGTAGGTTCCTTTGAAGTTTCTCATTACGCCATCCTTTTCTTACTGATAGTACCTGTGTTGCACTCTGTATTTCTTTCCCCTCACTTCCTTCAAGTCAGGAATGCTATACTAAATACTGCCTACAAAAGGAGATTGTGAACCTTGGTAAAAATGAGGACAAAAAATTTTCGTGATGAAAACCTTCCATTCATCTCTGCTCTTTGAATTAATCTTTTCAGATTTTGATTTATGAAACTGTTTTTCATCATTCTCACTCTTTATATCCCTTAACAAAATCTTAAACAACACTTAGGCCTTTTAATACACTATTGTAATAACTCCTTTCAAGTCTTTTAAAAGGTTAGTAGAATATAGTTTGTGTAAATGCTTTATATAGCTATCCAGTTTTATTTTTAACATTATTTTAATATCATACACAGTCCTCTGATGCCCTTTGGAATCCTTTCTGTGTAGATCTGTATATCACCTTTCCATCATCCCAGCCACTACTGTTTATAGTAGGGTGCCAGCAATGTATACAGGTGGTTCTTTTTACTGCTTTTTTCCAAACACGTAGATGTGAAACGTGGTGGACTGCTGACGATACTTACTGGTAGATTTCCTCCAGTTCTCCCATCACTTCTCATATGAAATGTGAATTAGATTAATAAAAAAAGCTTTAGGATAGGAATCTTAATGCAGATCTCTGAAGCAATGGCTTAGTGTGAAGAGAATGCTCATTTCTGTCATACCTCTGTCACTTGTTTGCTTCATTCCTTCTCCTTTTCCTTTTGGGTTATCCAATGAGTCCAATTTAATTTTCAAAGTTTTCTCCCTGTGTTATAGCTGAGAAGTCAGAACACAGACACATACAGGCATGCACATAGGTTTTGCTACATATTTTTTTTCTACCTGCTCTAGTGTATCTTCATTGTCTTCATAAGGTCAGGTTTCCCTCAGGTTTTTGCAGTTCAGTCATTGACTGGTGAGTTTTTTCTTTGCTTTGTTTTTAATGGAGAGATTTCTTTTTCAGCTTTCCATATGTCATTGCCTTCATTGGATGGTTATGGATTTTTATGGCTTGCTATGTATTTTCATTGCTTTAACACTATTTAAAAACAGTGCGCTTCCATTTTTTGGTACCTTCTGATTTTGGACATTGGCTCTCGTGAGAACATTGTCCTTTGTAGTGATTCACTGTTGGCAGTTCTTAAATTAATTTCTGTTAATTACAGAATTATACAAATTGTGTATTAATATTGTATTAATATGAATATTCTCTGTTTGGGTCATGTAGAACAAGCTTTCAAATCATTGATTTGAGAAGCTATTTGTGTAAAGATTATTTCTTGAGTGGCAGGCCAAAACGTTCTGCTCTCAAATATAGAAGGAATGTACTTTGCTTGACTGGGGTGGGGGGAGAATCCAGATTCAGTATTTGGCTCTCCTAATAAGAAGTGTCATGGATAGTAACAACATTGTCTGTATGAGTAACAGCTAAGTTCTGTCCTAAAGGGAAACTGCTGAAGAGTCTTAAACTGGTGTATCCAAATCAGTTGTGAGCTACGAGGTAGAGGTCCAAATAGAAAGATATTGTTAAGTAGAACAGAGTCTTACATGTTCATCTGTCAGAATTCTATCTCTGCATAGGTGCAAAACTAGAAACAGAGCATGGTTTGATCTAAAGAATACCTGCTATCTGCTCAGCACAACTGAAGAGTTACTTGTCTGCTTTTCTTGAATGACTTTGGAAATAAATCTCTCCTCTACTACAGCTTTTATGACAAAGATTTTTTTTCTCACCTCATAGTGTTGAGAACCTGTTTCTTGTTTGCTTCTAGCTCATCCTAAAATAAATAAAGTGACACTTTTTTTTAGTGCGAAGAGTCATCTGCAATATTACAGCAAAGGTGTATGGGTAGAAATTCAGTCTCGCTGGCTGAAGATTTTACATTCTTAGACATCCACTGAGAGAGTCTTACGAAAACATGTCATTTGGAAGTTGGGAGGAAGGGGGTTTCCCTCACTGTGTAGTCAAGGAAAAAGGGCAAATGTTTTGAGGGCCTTGAAAAGGACATTGTGTCACTTAATGCTTTCAAACTCCATCTCTGGAGGCCTTCAGTATCTGTTTTCTTTTTACCTAGGTAGTGATCTGGGAAATTACATTATGATGGCAGTTCTCTATAGGAGAGCTCCCCTCAGTGTGAACAAAATGCCTTTAAAATCTGTCTAAAGATAAATGCATTTTGGTTATATGTTAAAATGAAATTTGTAGAAATCTGTGCTGTATTGGGCTGCTTAAGTCATGACTGTTGTATTTCATGTAAATATAATGTGGTGCTACAATACATTTAGTGAGTGGTGCATCTAATCACTTAGGTGCAGATTTGTCTCTTATTAGGTGTCAAGACACAGTTTTGAAGATTCATGCCTGCAGGTTGGCAGTCTAACAGAGGAAGAAATGCTCTCTACCTGTTAAATTTCTTGGACTAACAGTGTGCTTAACTGTTTTGTCAAATAACAAGTTGCATACAGGTCTTGGTCATGTATAATTTCATGGTTGTACAAGCTATTCTTTGAGGAAAAAAATGGATTTGTTCACCTTCTTCAAATTAATGCATTGTCTAGATCTGCTGGCAGGATACAAGTTTGCTTTCTAGGTTATACAGATGAGATCTCAAAGACAGAAATTAATGCAGACCATTTATTTTCAAAAATCAGATTCTTTGTTTTAGATGAGTACCTAGTAGCTGCATTTCTGATGATGAAGCGTACCTGCAGATAATAGTTTGTCCCCCTTGTTTTCTTCGTTGCAGTCTGAGGTTAGCTTTACTAAACGAAGCAAAAGAGGTGCGAGCAGCAGGATTGCGAGCCCTCCGCTATCTCATTCGAGATTCCACTATTCTCCAGAAGGTGCTGAAGTTGAAAGTGGATTATCTGATAGCTAGGTAATTTTTCTCTTCTATCTTGTTGTAAATTATACACTTGTAAATCGCTTTCTTTTTCATGCTTAAGAGTTGAGAAAAGATGTTTTCATGTGCTCTTACATTCTTGAGTTTTATAAGAGCCGTTTTTCTTCAATATGAATATCATAATTTAAAAATAGAATGATACATCACACTAGCTAATCCAAATAAAATGGTGCCCTAATATATACTCTGAGTAATGAAAAAAAAAATTTTTTTTCAGTCATAAATGCCATTAATCATAAATGAATCTGTGGTGTTATTAGAAGTTTGAAACATGAGTAATTTTCATGACTTAGGTTATTTTATGGGAGTTGATCCCAATACTTTGTATCATTGTAATGCTTTGAGCCTCTGGACAAAGTCAGGGCTCAGAAGTAGTTCATGCCCACCAATTGATAATCTAAGTATAACTTATGACACAACAGAATAATACCGAAGGGCAAACAAACAATGAGATAATAGATCAGTGTGATGAGTAGATGTAAATATTAGTATTTGTAGTGCATACTTAAAATTTTGTTGGATTTAATACACTGCTAGAGGTGGTTTTGTTTATAAATATATCTACATAGTCAGTTTTAGTTTGCTGTTTAAATCCATTGGAGCAGTGGGACTTTTCTGATCTGTTAGCACATAAAACGTGTTGATGTGAAATAGTATAAATACTTTGTTTATTCTCATTTGAAATTATAAATGTAATTAACTCAGAAAATATTTGTTGAAGTTTTTATGCCTTGTATGTTCAAGAATATTCTGGTGGTTAACTTAAAATGAAGGTAACAAAAAAAAATACAAAACAAAGCTAACTGATGAGTCATAGAATCATTCTGGTTGGAAGAGACCTTTAGAATCAAGTCCAGCTGCTAAATATGACTTATAATAATAAGTATGCTTGCTGAAAGACTGAGTTTTTAAACAATCATAATATTTTTTGTTCTTTTTATGTAATTGCATAAATGTTAACATGAGATTTTAACAATGAAGGTGAACGTTGGTGTGATTGTAAATGAAATGTGTTTTTTTTAACTTATTTTAGGTGCATTGACATACAGCAGAGTAATGAAGTAGAAAGAACACAAGCACTTCGATTAGTCAGAAAGGTAAAATCTAACTATATATGGTCAGATTAGTTATGCCAGTCAGTTACACCGACTCCTAGATTTCTCCAACAGCAGTTTTTTTTCCACAGAGTCTCTCATACCTTATCTTACTTTATCATGTGAGAAAAAATTATGGCTGATAATGCAAAAGAAAAAAGGAAGGCTAGTGCTGAGATGAGGTTTTTATTTTTATCTCTTACCACCGGGAATCTTTAGTGGGCTAGAAAAATAATTCTAACTTTCTTTTGATAGAGATCATACTGTAAAAGATTTGGGAAGAAGTTACCAAATGACAAATGCTAAGGGTGTAAGAACTGTACTAAGTTTGATCTAATGATTTAACTATTGTAGAGGGTGTTTAAGCACCTGTGAATCAAGGGGTAGGAGATATTCTGCCATTAAACAAACGAGGCAAATTGCCATTGCTGGAACAATCAGCTGAAGGAATGCTCCTAGCCATATTGCTTTATTCATAGAGGTTGATGCAATCATAATTCTTTTCTCAGCTACACAGTAAGACATAGTCTGTGGTTGTTACTGTACTGTGTACCCATGGATATGAGATGTTTGAAGCTGTGGTAAGGGTATTGTCAAGTTCATTCTAGAGAAATTGGCTTATACAGCTACTAAAGGTGTATTTTCCAAGCAAGATAGTGTCCTGCCTTTGTACTGGACTTTTGTTTATCTTGCTTGCATTCTTCTGCTGAGCATCTTAGGAAAAACTACCAAAGACTTGAATGATGTTTGAAGTAGTTGGAAGAATCTGTTTTGTGTGTATTTGTATTTTTAAAAATAATTTAAAAAAAAAAAATGTGTATACATCTTATATACATTTGGGCTGAAAATAGGGAAGTTTGATAAGCAATTTCCTTTCTTATAATGACATCACTTGATTTCTGCTTTATGGAAGAAACAATACACTTGATTAACAATCGCTCAAAAAAGAGTTGAAGTACCACCACCCCCAAACCCAGACAGACAAAACCCACATCCATAAAGGAATAGATGCTTGAGAAAGTCACAGTTTATAAAAGTTCTTTGGTAATCTGCTTTAAAAGAAGAACTTCAGTGTAGAGCCAGAATCAGAAGAGGGAATGGAGACATTTATAATTGGTTTTATTTCGGTCAGAAATTTGCCATTGTTATTCCTGGGCTGTTTTGAGCATTTCCTAGTTGAGCAAAGACTTCTGTCTTGCTTGAAAGATACAAGAGGAAGCAAGAGAAATAGGTGTCTTAGTTGGATTTGAAAAAATTATCTGGAAGAGAAGTATTAAAAAATTGTACAGCTGACCACGAGTGCTTTTTTCCTCCATCATTGCTGTGCATGGCATGTACATACTGTATTGGATGCTGATAGCTCCTCAGTGCTGGAAACTATATTGATGAAAGATGTTTCCTAATGTCTTTTGCTATCTGGAGTGTCCTTTCGTCTTAAAAGACCATGTCAGACAACCAAAAAGCCACCCAGTGTGACTACCAGTAAAGGTAACACGTTTTCATGTTCTGTCTGGACTACAGCAGTTAAGCATGCACTGGTGTAGAGCAGTCAGTGCTTCTGACTCTCTCTCACAAGGAATATTGTGACACATGTCCTGAATGGCACATTCTGTACTTTTCATAGTTTTGTTAGCCTGTTCTTGCTCTTCTTCCATCTTTCTTCATCTCCCTCAATATCTCAAACTGGGTGGTTTGATACCAGGATTCCTGCAAGATAATACAAAGGTCTGGAAGAAGAGAAAGTGTGGCAAATAAAACAACCAGAGTTTATTGATTTCTGGAGGAGGTAATTTACTATGAGCCATGGAAGAGCTGAACTGGAGTCCACCAGCATCACAGAACTATTGCTTTCAATTTCAATGCTTGGATGCAATTCCTTAACTTCATCTTTGATAGCAAAAATGGTTATGTAAAAATAGCATAGATATATAACTTTAAAACCTTCTCTTGCTTTCTTCTCTTCCTTTGTGTAGATTAGGAGAGCAAAAGATAAAATATTAATCCTGTTTTATGAATTTATAAAAGGCACTTAATGATAAACTTCTTTAAAAAAAAAAAAAACTGCATGTGAAAGTAGTATAGGAAGACAAAAGAACAACAATTTTAAACTCTAAACTTGGTTTCTGACAGTTTGGGGTTTTTTTTTTTTTTGAAGTCTTTGAATGTTCACTCTCCTGACTGTAATCACCTCTCCATTTCCTAGTAAGACCTTGGCAATTTAACACTGTCTACATGCATGAGAAGAATGGTATAAAGTTGCTTCAGAAAGTGTTTTTTCCATCTACTAGAAGTCAGACTTTTTAAAAAAATAATTTAATAGCTAAGATGTTTTCTTTTCAAAGCGGAAGTCAAGGTTAGGTACGATATGAACCAGCCTCTCTCTTCCTCTTTTTTTAAAGGCCAAATTCTTAGTGCCTGTTACTTCATAGATACTTGTAAGTAGCCATAGATCACCTATCCTTTGTCTTTAGAACTACGTTTCAATATCTAGAGTAGAACGAAAGCTTATGCAAGAGATCTGCATTTAGTCTAATAAAATACTTTGTGCTGAACATTAAAATAAATATTTCCTTCTTGTGTCTTAAAACCAAAGAAAACAACGAAGTAGAAAACCATGAGGCTGCTCTTGTCTTCACACTAAGTGCATGTCAGTATCATTAGGAAAAACTGTTACAGTTTTGCAGAGTACATTGATACACCCATTCTGTTGCTATTTCTTGTTACTTCACGCCATTGTAAAAGTGAACAACTACCTGGGTGGGGAAGTGTTTGCGTTTTCTTTAGAGTCCTATGTTAAAGCTTCCTGTTTTGTGGGTGATTATGTATGACACATTTCTCAAAAACGTTTTAAAAATAATCTTGTTAAACTGTTCTAGTGTATTTATCATAATGGTTGATCGCTCCTCAGTGTAGCATCCTCTGCAAAGGACATAAGGCAGTCTGCTTTGTCTGAACAGATATCTGTAAGACATCAAAGAGAGATTTAAAATTGATATGGGAAAAAACAATTTTGGAAAAACAATGAAGATAAGCCTGCTTTTGTTGGAAACAAAATGGATGTTAAACAAAAACTTTGAGAACTACCCTTAAGTTTTTAGGTCTTTCGATACTGAGTATTTTTTCATGTCTCATCTACTAGCAGAAAAGAAAGTTATATGATTGAGGAGGCTGGAACACGTTGGTTTTCTTTTTTGAAGCAGTCAGACAAAAAAAAAAAATCCTACTTCCTCCTTAGTAATACATCTGTTTAGTGATGTTCATGTTCCATATCATAGAGGATATGAATACAATATTTTTTTTAATGGAAGAGTGACATGGTTTATGGATGCAGGTGTTGTTTTCATCTTTTTGTTTCACTTCAACTTGTTTCAGGCGTGTGTGTTGTGCCATAGCTCTGTAACTTAGGATGAAGTGGAATTACCCTGATGTTCTGGGAAGATCGGGTACTATGCAAGAGGATACAGGGCTGTTACTGATAGTTGCCTTCCATATACTGCAGCAGCTTCTTCTATCAACTGTCCTTTTGTAGTCTGCAGCAGTCTTAAGAATCTTGCCACAAAATAGCAGACCTTAGTCTTGGCTAACTAAACAGTTGAATAGGTGTTGAATCTGCTGCAGTACGAATGAATCTTTTAGAAAAGTTTATAATCTACTGTGTCATGTCTTGTGACATTCTTTGTTGATAAAGAAATTCTTAGAAAAAATATGGAAAAGGTAGCCATAGTTGTCCCTGCAACAGTAACCTTTTTATCCCTTTCCTATTATGATAAAATAAAAAATGAAGCAGGAAGAGAATGGTAAAATGACGAATGTTCAAGAACGAAATAAACAGTTTTGAGGATTTGCCAGATACAACCAAGTACTACATAGAGGGGTCTGTCTGGTTGTATCTAGGAAACAGGATGCTGGTGAATCCATGAGTATATTTAGAGTAATATTATGAAGAAACCACAGGGCTTTTTCTTTCGTTTTTGGCAGATGATCACTGTGAATGCTTCATTGTTCCCCAGTTCTATTACTAATTCTTTGATAGCAGTTGGAAACGATGGTCTTCAAGAAAGAGACAGAATGGTTCGAGCGTGTATAGCCATTATCTGTGAACTAGGTAAGATAACTGAAAGCTAATTAAGAAAAACTTTGATGTCACTGTCATCAGTTTTGTTAGAGATTCTTTTCTGTGGGTGCATATTAAATAGCTTGTATTCAAATAATTAAGTGTTTAATAACGAATTACATGTTAAATGTTCATGATTTCACATTCATGGATTTTAGTCATTAGTTTGTTATAAAACAAGATCACTTGAATTTAAAGTCTCTTAAGTTAAATACCTGAAGATTTCAGATCCTGTTCTTGTTCTTTCCTTTTAAGACTTGACAGTTTTTGATTCACTTTAAAATTTTTCCCTGCTGCAATTGATGTTTCTAAAACTAGTGGACTGGAAGTGGGAAGCATTCCATACGTGAGATGCTGACCAAGAGTTCAAAAAACTACAAAAATTGTTTTCCAGTTATCTGGCTTCTGGAAGTCAGTATTTCATAGAATCAGAATTGTTTAGGCTGGAAAAGTTCTTCAAGGTGTCGTAGAGCCCAGCCATTAACCTGACTCCATCAAATCCACAGCTAAACCATTTCCCTCAGTGCCACATCTACACAACTTTTAAACACTTACAAGGATGGTGATTCAAACACTTCCCTGGGTAGCCTGTTCCAGTGCTTGACAACCCTTCCAGTGAAGAAACTTTTCATACTATCCAACCAAAACTTCCCCTGGCACAACTTGAAGCCATTTTCTCGTATTCTATCAGTTGTTACTTGGGTGTACAGACTGGTGCCCACCTCTCTGCTTTTCCTTTCAGGTGGTTGTGTACAGTGATAAGATCTCTGAGCCTCCTTTTCCTCACACTAAATAGCCCCAGTTCTCTCAGCTGCTTCTCATAAGAGTTGTGTTTGAGGACCTTTACCAGCTTCATTGCCTTTCTGTGGACCCCATCCAGCACCTCTTTCTTGTAGTGAGGGGTCCAAAACTGAACCCAGTTCTCGAGGTGCAGCTTCACCCGACCAGAGGTGCAGCTTCACCAGCACAGAGTACAGGAGGACAGTTGCTTCCTTAGTCCTGCTGGCCACACTATTTCTGATGCAGGCCAGGATGCTGTTGGCCGCCTTGGCCACCTAGGCACACTGCTGGCTCCTGTTCAGCTGGCCGTCAGCCAACACCCCCAGGTCCTTTTCCACCAGGCAGTTTCCAGCCACTCCTCCCCAGGCCTGGAGCATTGCCTGGGGTTGTTGTGACCCAAGTGCAGGACCTGGCACTTGGCCTTGTTAAACCTCCCACAGCTGACCTCAGCCCATTGCTCCAGCCTGCCCAGATCCCCCTGCAGAGCCTTCCAACCCTTAAGCAGATTTTTGTCCATGTAAAGGATAGTGGTTTATAGTACTTGCTATGCTTGTATGTGGGTGCTGATTTTTTTGCTTTTTTTCCAAAATATGTCAATGAGAAATAACTTAAGTGACATTTTCAAGGTAGAAACGTCCCTTTTAAAGAAATAAATGATCTGTAACTCTTCTATATTCCAGTATAAATGTTTTATCCATGTCAGTCCAGTGAAGCACAAAACCTTTTTGTGGGCAATTCCAGAAACTGGTGGGAAACTTGGTTGGAAAGAAGCTGGGAAATTGCTGCACAGTGGTGACTGGCTGACCAGTATTTTTTTTCCTGATAAATTAATCCAAAATCTCGATTTATTGCAGATGTCAGGCAGTTGCATTAAAAGCTTTACATATGCCTCAGCACTGTTCAGGAAGATGATAAATGTACTAAAGGGATGTCAAGCTTGTCATACTGGAAGCTGTGAAATGTTTTCTATCACTAGCCAAAGTGATGTGTTTTTTCTTCATTTAGCACTTCAGAATCCGGAGGTGGTGGCTCTTCGGGGTGGTTTAAGTACCATCTTGAAAAATGTGATTGATTGTCAGCTAAGCCGAATAAATGAGGCTCTGATAACTACAGTTTTGCACCTCATTAATCATCCAAAGACCCGACAGTATGTGCGAGCAGATGTAGAATTAGAGGTGGGTTCAGTTTTCCTTGTTTAGTGACAGAAATTAAACTTTGTGTTACTAACAAAAATGTTTAATTTTCATCACAGATTCCACCCTGTGTGTTAGTGCAAAATGCTTAAAATACAACATTCTAGGCTATAAGCGTAATGATTTATAAAGCAGGAATAACATGACAGATTGGAGTGGGACTAAGGAAAGGGCAAGACCCATTTAACTGTATTCTCATGTGAAAGTAATGCATGTCTTTCTTTTGTTTAGCGAATTTTAGCTCCTTACACAGATTTTCACTACAGGCATAATCCAGACACAGCAGAAGGACAACTCAAGTAAGTGTTAGTGCGGCTACTTGTGCTACCAGTTGTGTTCATGGTATTGGAATTAAGCTTTTTTCTTTCCAAAGTGAAAATAAAAGCAATGACCTACTGCTAAGCTACTTGAATACAGTAGGTTAGAATGCAACTTTCTAAAATACTGTAAAGAGCTTAAGATCTGAAGAGACTTGAGAAGGCTGGGGGGGCACCCTCCCTTGAATAGCCATGTTTGGTATCTATGAAGGTGTTGTCAAAAAGATGTATCCAGGGCCCTTCATAGTGATGAAAGGTGGGAGGACAACAAGGAACAGAAAGAAATTGAAATGAGCAGTTACAACATAATACAAGGGCAGGGTGGGGAATTTTCTGTGAGGCCGGCCCAGTGCTGGAACGACTGTGTAGAGAGGTTCTGCAGCTTTCATCCTTGAGAGCTTCAAGACCCAACTGGATAAAACCTTGAGTATAATCTGTTGTAGTCTCATAGCTGACAACTTCTTTGTGTGGAAGTTTGACGTACAGACCTCCTGAGATTGCTTCCAACTTCAATTATCCATTTGGATTTTATTTCTTTTTTTTAGTTATCAAATGGCATTTTAGATGCTTAGGTCTGGGTAGCGGAATAAGGTCCACATCTTTATGTCCCTGGCCTAGACTCACTGTCAGTGGAGACACAGAGTGATTTGGCTGATCACATATGGGTGTTTACTTAGTGATGTTATCCTCCTACCATAGAAACTCCCTTGAAAAAGGAAAAATACCATACTTTAAAATTCCAGTTTGTGTGTGTGTTGCATAACTACATATACACACGTACATGCATATGGAAAAGACTTCTCTTTGGGTTTTGTGCCCCATCTAAAATCTCAGCTAACTACTTTTTACTTGCTATGTTAATAACGCTGTTTGTTTTATAATAATTAACGGGATTGTGACGTTTGTTGTTTTAACGACAGGGAGGACAGAGAAGCACGGTTCCTAGCCAGTAAAATGGGAATCGTGGCAGCATTTCGATCGTGGGCAGGTGAGACTTGCTTGGTTTTTTGAAACTTGATGACTAGAAGGGGAATTTTGTTCTCTAGTATGAAAGAGTAAGTTGTTTAAACAGAATCTGTGTGATTTGATATGTCTAATTCCTATCAGTACTTTCCTAAAATGAAACTAAGATATGTTTTGATATTGTAAAGTAGCGGCATGCATACATAGTTTTCTTTGACTAACTCTACTGACAAGATGCAGCTCCCCCCACCCTGCCCCATTTTAGAATACATTACAAGTGGTACATTGACATCTGATGGATAAGAGAATGTTGAAAATAACATATAATAATTGGCGTTTGAGGTGGTTCCACCACCATAAATATTTTTTTTCTTCACTGTGAAGAGATATGAACAGAATAGTTCCATTAACACTTGCTTTTACCAGGGAGCAGAGCTGAAGAGAAATTGAAGATGCACGTAGTTTGGGATTTTTCGTTTAGAAGACATTTCTAAATAAAAAAAAAAAATGGGATTTTTCATTTTTCTGAGTCCTTTCTTTGCAATATTACAATATCTAACATGAAGATACTACCTCAGGGGCTGCTTATTCTTTTAGTTCGGGCAGTGTCCTACAAATAAATTAGGTCAGTTGATAGGACCATTTTATGGAAATTTGGAATAGGATTTTTACAGGCTACACTTAAGAAAGATTCAGACTGGTTAGAAAGTCTTTATCACTGTGAGACTATTTGCCCTTTTTTATGTTCCAAAAATGATGACTAAGATTAATTTAATATCCAGATATCCTTCAGAAGTTTCTCACACATGTTCTCACTTGTTTGGGGAGGAAGCTTGTGAAGTTTGTGACAACTTTTGAAACTTCTAGGAACCAGTTCCTGATAGGAGTATTGCTGCATTTTCCATAACTCGGGCATTTGGAACTAATGGCATATGCCTGAAAGCTCAAATGATTTGAGGAAACAGTTGTCTTTGAATATGTTACTTCCCATGGTACTTTCACTATTAAATGTTCATCCTATTTTATGTTACCTGTTACATTGGAGACCAACATCCTAAATGTTTTTAGTACAAAAACGTGCTTACACTTTCAGTCTTCCCAAAGGACATGCAGCTAGACTTGGCCTTGGGGTGTTCATGGGTTTTATTTTGGCTTTTGTGATATTTTTTTTTACCAGTCTGTACTATCTGCTGTGTCTTCTTGTTTGGCTCTCCATATTTTCCAGACTGTGTTATTCTTCAGAGCTGATAATTACCTATGTCCTTTATCCTCAAGCATGATCCTCTCCTTTGAGATGAAACTGGGGCATGCAGCAGTGACTGTATGCATTTCACATTGTAACTATTTCCACATTGCAACTGGGATGTTGCCACTATATGCGCTTGGAAAAGGCCTCTGAGGTGTACTGTGGAAACTATTTAAAGGCTTTTGGTGTGTTTCTGGCCACATGTGCATGACTTGAATTTTTGTGACATGAAAGTTTTGAAATTGAGGACTTTCTTAGAGTTCATAAAAGCACATGTCATTAAAGTTAAATTTGTATTAGTCAAAATAAACAGAACAGTAGGTGATACTCTACCATCTTTCAGTAATTTTTAAAGAATGACAATTTGGTTTTATTTACGAACTGTAAGACAAAAAGGCATGTAAGCCTGGAGTCTTTCTGTTGATTTGGAGTTTCATGCTGGAGAAACTTGATTCTTTTCTGCATAGCATGTTTCTGTAAGTTTTAGTTTGTTCTGTGAAGAGAAGTGGTCAAGGAAATGAACATGCTTACAGTCTTTACAACCACAATTTAAATTAAGGCTACATATGAATTGAGGCTGAAAATCAGTGTAAGCTTCAGGTTGTATTGTGTAACATTTAGAAACCATTTCAAAATTTTCCCGATTAATATTGAAATATTAAACTAATTGAGTAATAATACAGCATAAAAGGACAAAATTATAAGAGAGGTTCTGAGATTTTTTTCAAAGTTTAATCTACTGTGTTGAAACTTCAGATGAGTGCTGATCATTTGGCAAAAAGGTGATTTAAGATGGCACACGAAGAATGTTATCCCAAGTATTTTTAAACTTGCTTTTTAGAGTTCACCCAAGATTAAACCAGTAATTTATTAGATTAAGATACAGCTTTTGATGGAGAAATTTCTCATAGTTCTGCCGAGATGATGCAGATCTTTCTGGTTTGAGACTCATTCTTTATTGATAGTTTTGCCTTCTCTTTCTGCCATTTCTTCCATGTAAATATTGGGTTTTCAGTTTGCAATTTGAAAATACTTTTCACGGTAGAAAGGACAAGAGTAGCTATATTTTAGAGTAGACAAGAGTAGATATATTTTAATGAAGAAACAAGTTGTGTGTTTAGGAATCTTTATTAAATATTATTGATTGAAAAGAAAAGGACATGAAAATATTTTATTAGTAATTTTTATCATCTGTGCTTGTACTCAAACTGGAAATCAAGTTTAATTATCTGTCTAATGCTTTTGTTTTGTTCAGTGAAGGTGTATTATTATGTATTTAATGTTTTCTAGGTATTATCAGCCTGTGCAAACCTGGAAATTCTGGGATTCAGTCTCTTATTGGGGTTCTCTGCATACCAAATATGGAAATACGGGTAGGTGGTTAAATATTTAGCACTGATGTAGAAATAATATTGGATGTTTTAATTGACATATTCTTAATATTTTAGCAATTTAGTGGTTTAAGCAGACTTGACTTAAGAGTCCCTTGAGCTTATTTGAGTTCAGGCCTATAATTCCATTATAAAATCCTTGTGAGAGTGTAAGCACATTCTGTATGTCTGGAAGGAGGGAATCGGGGAGAGAAGACTACATAAGTTAATTTTCACTATGATCACAAGTCAAAGCAAGTTCACGATAGTTACAGTTAGGAGTTTATAGCGTAATAATTAGTTGAATCGAAGATAAAAATATTTCTTACCAGTTACCTATAAAACTGAAAAGTTAATGGTGGCAGCAGTAGTTGTTATGAAAACCTGTAACCCATGTAGCCTGAACTTCTGTAGAATTCGTAGCACAGTAAGGCACAGTTCTAAAGTCAGCAAGCCCCTTCTCTTGAGACTATTTCAGTTCATGAAAATAAGCATGTTGTCAAAAAAAAATGAACAGTGAAATAAATACACCAGATTCAGCTCTATAGAAATCTCAACTGCAGGATTAATAGTGAGCCAAAGGACAGTTTTTATAAATCTATAAAACTCATGCTGTGGGTTGTTTTTTTTTGGTAGCGAGGTCTGCTTGAAGTTCTCTATGACATATTTCGCCTTCCTCTCCCTGTTATTGCTGAGGAATTTATTGAGGCACTTCTCAGTGTAGGTAAGTATTCAGAACCAGGTCACATAAGCATTCTGTTTTACTAAGCCTTTCTACAAATTTTAACCCTTCACTGTCTCCTCTATATTGTAAATTACATCAGTATTAACTGTTTTATCACTGAACTCATTGGGTGATCTCAAGTCCTGTTTAAAATTCTTCATCAACTGTTAAGTGTCATGCTCCACTGCTGATCTTTTATCAAACTTACAATGGAGCAGTTACAGTGAAAAGTGTATAAACATTATTACAAATTAGGCTTCTCTGAAGTGTTAAAAGCATTAGTAATGTTGATGTGTTAGTGAATGTTACAAAAAAGTTATTAAACAGTCTTTTCCGTACATTGTGTATCTGCTGTCTCCACCACAGGTTAGCAGACTTACACTTTTCCTAGGGCAAGTGTATGCTTTTTTTACATCTTTACATTTAGCAGTTAGTTTCTTATCTTCAGAATTACTCCTTTGTGAACCCAAGAACTCCTTTTTGTCTCACAGTGAAAAATATGAGCCCCAAAGGAGCAAGTTCCAGCCTTTAATGTTCTAGAAATTCTCTTCTCCCCATTCTGGTTATAAATGTTTTGTCATACCATTGATTATAAAAGCTTAATTCATGTTCTGTGTTTACAAGTAAATAAATGATTATTTGTTGCAGAATTCTTGCTACTTCATGATAAATGGACATACATTTTAAAATTTTAGGTGTTACAATATTTTATGTTAAGTTTAATGTATGTATGAATTAAATATCAGTATTTTGTTTGATATTTAAATATAGTCTTTGTCGTAGCTTTGAAGTTGGCCATGCCTTGTTCAGGAGCGTGGATTAGAGTTTTGTAATTTGAAACCTGGAATAACATTTGTTGGCAAGAGCTTTTATTTACCCACTGACAGCCATTAACATAACACACGAAATCCAATGTTATAATTGTCCATATTTTCTTGCTCTAGATCCAAGCAGGTTTCAGGACTGCTGGAGACTTTCTGATGGCTTTGTAGCTGCTGAAGCTAAAACTGTATTGCCCCATCGAGCCAGATCAAGGTGAGCGTTTAAAGAGCTTAGTCAAAACTGTTGCTTTTGGTTTGTAATGTTGTTGACAAAATATTTGTCTTCTTGCAGATAGAATAAGAAATGAACTTTCTAAACTAATTCCATACATTTTTCTCCTTAGGCCTGATCTCATGGATAATTATTTGGCTTTGGTGCTTTCAGCTTTTATTACCAATGGACTTCTAGAGGTAACTAATAACATTAAGTTTGAATAGGTGCTTGCTACTTTTTTCCATGTAAATATTAAAAGAAGATTTTCTACATTAAATGTTGTAATAATTTTTAAACTTTTTGAAGGGTCTGGTTGAAGTGATCACAAGTAGTGATGACCATGTATCTGTTAGAGCAACTATCCTTTTGGGAGAACTTCTGCACATGGTAAGTAAACCTTTGCTGAGAATAGGTACTTTTAGTAGTTAGTAGTAAATAGCTATTTCCTGTTAGAGCCTTTTCATTAGAACGGTGGTTTAATTTATATTACATCTTCTGGCACCTCATATATTAAAACCACTATGAATCAACAGTAAGGTTGTTTGGAAAGTATTTGAAAGTGCATGAGGTTCTGCTTCACGGATAATCCACAGCTCTCAAAGTCTCACCAGTATGCTTCTGGTTGTATTTTTAAGCTGTAGTCCTGTAAACTCACCTGTAGGTTTCCGTGTTTGCAGAGAAGACCATTGCAGACTTTGCTTTTCTTAGACCTTTGGTAGCCCCCTGGAAGCATCTTTAAGTTTTTGCCTCACTTGCTAGGCAGCTGAAACTTTTTATGTTCAGCTTGCTGTGGCTGGTGCACTTAATTTTACTCATTCATGGAACTCCAGGTTGGTGGAGTGCTTTTCCAGCACTGCTGTGCCTGTCCTACAGAGAAGCTGCAGAGACCTCGCGTTGTGCCGTTTCCCTCTACCGAGCTTATCTTTCACAGTAGCTTCTCTAGCTTAACCTGAGCTGTTTTGGTGTAGAGATTATATTGTTTTCATGTACACTCCAGTACTACCTTTTAGGATCTCAAGGAACTAAAAATAGCTATGTGAAGTGATGTGATTTACCTTTCTTGCAAAACAGTTCTTTTACTTTCCAAATCCCCTCTTGATGGCAAGAACAGTGTATGCAGTAGATCACTTTTTCATCCAGTTTCATATGGGTTTTTTAATCTTTTTTGCAAATAAAGTTTTAAGAGATTGAAGTAGTATCTTTATCTTCATTATGGTTTAATTTCAAAAAATATTTGCAGAAGTACATATATTTCCCAAAATAAAATCAATTAAATGTCTATTAACTTAGGAAGTTACGTTGATTAATCAGATTATTTTATTGTGCAGGAATTTTTTAGTAGAAATCAACATAAATTGTGTTTCTGAGTTTAGATTTTTTTAATACTTTTATACACGTGGCATAAGGACATCAGATGCTTTGCATGTTTTTGCATCTTACCACTTAGAAGAACACCAGTGCAAAGAATACAGATTAGAAGGCTGTGAAGTCTGTAATTGTCTTAAGTTACTTTCAGTTGTATTTCAGACTGATCAGTGAAATTAGTTATTATAAAGGGTGTAATTATGGCTATGATGTTATGCAAAAGGTAGTTTTCTTGTTATGCATTTGTGAAAATCTTGTGAGAAGTTTTAGATTCTTCAAATGTTGGTCCCAAAGAGGTGGCTGGAAATGTTGTAATAAGTTACTCTAACTGATCTTTTGTTATTTTTTAGGCAAACACAATTCTTCCTCATTCTCACAGCCATCACCTGCACTGCTTACCAACGTTAATGAATATGGCAGCATCTTTTGACATCATGAAAGAAAAAAGACTGTAAGAATTCTCAGTTCCACTTAAAAGCAAAACATTCACATCTCCTTTTCCCCCTACAGTTTTGCAAAAACCTGCACCATAAGTTTTCTGGTGTCTAAAATTACTTCTGTCTTTATTTAAAAAAAAACTATATAGAAATATTCTGTCATGCTTATTGGGGAAATAGTTTCCAGTGTATCATTCCAAAAATGTTTACAGTAATATTTTGGAAATTTGGAGAGAAAGTTTCGATAGTGAATTTCAGAATGCTTTTGCATAGATTGGGAGATTTGTGCAGAATTTTTTTGAAATGAGCTCCCAAGGGACTGTGTAACCAAGCACCATCTGAGATATATGTTCTGTGTGTTTGACCTCTCCATTGTTTCACACTTTTTTGCCATTTTGATACAATTAAGCATTCATAACTAAAAAGCTGTACCAGTGTGGGTATTTTTTCTTCTAAGGTTCTTTGTATATAGCTAAATAAATAGTAATATACCAAATCAGTGACTCGTCACTAGTGTGAGCAAGAGGAAAGAATGCCATGCTGGTTTCTCATTTGTCTTTGTTTTTTTGTTTTGTGGGTTTTGTTTTTTGGTTTTGCTTTTTGGTAGCAGTAGGAATTATATGAACTTTCTGGTGCTTTTGTTCAAAGTTTGCACTGATGATTCAGTCCTTTCACTTCCATTGAAAGGTAAGAATGTATGAGGATAAATTTTTACATGTAGTACAGTATTCTTCAGTGGAATGTAGATAAGCAGTATTAGGGAATGTTTTTGCAGACATGGTGCTGATTAAATGAGGTGTATTTATGCATCTGCTTGTTTACAGAAGCTTTTTATTCCTCTTTGAACTACAAATACCTGACTTTTGAGATTTTAAACAACCATCATTTTTATTTTATTTCTCTGCACCTCTACTGATGTTGCAATGTTCACCTCTGAAGTACTCTTTCATAAAATACTATCTCCTGTGTTTTTAACACAGATTAAACCTCCTGAGGTCAAATATGATAGGTGAATCTATGTTTAAAATGTGCTTCTGTAACTCAGTGTTCTCACTAGCGTTTCTTTGTAGAAAACTATTTAAATTGAGTCTTGGGTTTTTTCTAATGGTAAATTATAGGAATTATTCTTGCTTCTCCTGATCTGAATTGTCAAATTTACTTATCACTTTACTTACTTTAATAACTTTTACAGACTTTACTTACCACAAACACTTACCAGTATTCTGATAAATACTGGTATAACTTTCTCTTTTGTCTTCCATTGTGTTGTCAGCCATAAGTTACAGAATCTTCCCATAATGCTCCTGCAGATTTATAGTGGCTGCTTGTAGAGTGCTTCCACGACATGCAGTGCTCTTCTGCTTTTTAGTTTTTAAGGTTTCTTATGTCAGTAGATTTTGATTTGTGAAAACAGTTATTTTTCAAAAAAAAGACATATCAGAATACTCTGGCACAAGGTATTTTACTTAGTGAAAGCTGTGGAATGAGAGGAAGGATGAAGAGCAGAAGGAATAAGTTTGTGGATTACCTGCAGTTTTTCTTCATTTTGGCATTTGTGGACATATATTTGTGGACTATTCATAGTAGTAAGAATTCCTGTTTTTTTTGGAAGAAAGCAATCTTGTAGAAGTAGTATTTTTTTTATTACGGAATCTTGAGTTTTGTCAACACTGCGTGGTTTCACATTGAAGAACTGCAAGCCATGTTGCAGATCAAATATATGTTCATTTGAATAAATGACTGAATTCAAAGGTGGTTTTTTTTGCTTGAAGTTAATACAAAATCAGAACTTTCCTAACCTGTGAGAATTTTTGTTTCTGGGGAAGAAAGGTAGACTTACTGCCTCATTTTTAGTCTTCCTTGTTTTATTTCATTAGCTGTTTTGTTTTGTGTTTTTTCTGCTTACAGTACTTTGTAATTAACTGTTTATGCCCTTGTGAACTGTCATTTGTAGTACTTCCTATCTCTTTTCCTGGAGAAGGGTTACACACTGTTGCTGAACTGTTTAGATATAAAAGCAGGAAGCATACTACTGATACTCCTGCCACTCTTTGGAGGGAAAAAAACTTTGTTTACAAGAAATAATTTATTAGTCAAAAGTTGAAGCTGGCCCCCTCGACTCAAATTTACTGCAGAACATCGATCTCAATACTTTGTAAACTTTAAACTTCACAGTAAGTTCTGTGAACTGTTAGACACCACTGACTGCAGAGTACAGGAAAAGGAGTCAATAAGGCTTGTGTTTCAGTACTAGAAACTCTGCAATAGTTTTCTGTATAAATCCAGTACAAGACTGAGTCCTATGGCTCCATGAAAACTTGCATCAAGAAAATTTTCTTTCTTGCTTTGGAACTCTTGATCAGTTCTTTCTAGAGCAGTGTTTATTTGCTCAAGTTATAGCAGTGATGCTTTTCAGTTGGCTGACAGTTGCCAGATACTGATTATAGGGTGTTTTTTCTCTATTAGACGAGCAAGTGCTGCGCTTAACTGCTTAAAACGTTTTCATGAGATGAAGAAAAGAGGACCTAAACCTTACAGCCTCCATCTAGATCATATTATTCAGAAAGCTATATCAACACACCAAAAAAGGGATCAGTACCGTGTGCAGAAGGACATCTTTGTTTTAAAGGTATTACCCTTATTGATTTTTTCAGAATTGAGTTTGACCTTGTATTTTGGAGACTTAGGTCCTGCTCCCCAAGCTTCACTCTGTCCTCTAATTGAGAGCCATTTATTTGATGTTTTTGTGGTGTTTTTTTAACCTGATTTGTCTTGTAGATGCTTGTGGATGCTATACTGCATTTCTGGGAACTGAGGAGTGAAATTACAGTGACTTTTAATGCTTTTTATGACCGGTTGTGATATCTTACCATTAGATTCTTAATGCACTACTATAAAGGTGCAATTTACTTTCAAGTGGAAATTAATGTGGAACATGCCTACATGAACGTTAAGTGTATCATGTAACAAGACTGAAAAACACGTTGCAAGGAAACTTACTGTGGTTTTTCAAATCTGTATTCCAGGATACAGAAGAAGCACTTGTAATGAATCTTCGAGACAGCCAAGTTCTTAACCATAAAGAGAACCTTGACTGGAATTGGAATCTAATAGGGACCATACTGAAGGTGAGCTAAAAAAGGATGTGTTATTATTTTTATGAAATTGTTTGGAGAAAAGTCTCCATTTCCCATGTGAACTTTGAGTTTCTAATATTAATTCTATTGTATGTCCCGTAATGATTTATTTCAGAAAATTAGAGTCTTATGGGTTTAATCAGTGCTGATAGTCTCTTTGTATACAGCCCTTACACTATATGCAAAAATATACTATAGTAACATTTACAGATTTCTTAGCAAGCATGTGTTAAATTTTATATAACTTTATTTGCATGGAAAGAGACTTGAAAGAATTAGCTTTAGTGGCTTTAAAGCAGCTGATACTTTAGACTTCAGTCTAAACTATACAGGGATAATGCCTTGTTCAGTTTTGTAGCAGATGGTTTTATATAACATGAGCTGAAGGTTAAGGCTGGAGGTGGGTTACAGATCAAACTTCAGATGCTTATTCTGAGCCACATATGAAAACTTAAGTATTACACAATTTAATTTAATGTTTTCAACTAATACAAATAATCCCGTAGAATCAAGTTAATGACAAAGTTACAAAATATGGTTTTAGAAAATAAAGCAAATCTCTGACAGGGAAGGCATTACCTTAAATATATTTAATGCACAGCATTTAAGATGCTGTTTTTTTTAAACAGAAAACTTACTTTCTTTGAGTGTGAAATTTCTCGAGTACTAAGTATAGTCTTTGAACCAAAATAGCTCCTGTCATTCTGTGCATCAAACCCTTCCTTCTGTTGTTACCCCAAAGTAACATTCTCTTACTTTCATCTTTACTGCATTGTTACAAAGATGGTGAAAGTACAAAAATGCTTAATGGTGAAGTCATAATGAAGATGATGTTAATAACCCCCCACACCCTTTTGTGCATGTTTTCAGGGACTGGTAAACTTGAGAGAGCAAGAGTCTGTCTGATATGAAAACTTGAATATGTATATGACAGTACCTTTGTTCCACCAAATTTTGCTGTTTACTTCACTTATTAGCTTTGCTGAATTACTAGATAATCTGTTTATTAATCATAAATATTTTTCCCTTTAATTCAGCATTAAAGATACTATGAAACAACTGTTTCTCAGGATCTCACTGTTAACTAGTCTGTAGTACTTTAACAATGGAACTTTTATGTAGTTAAGCACGAAAATGTTGGGCTTTTACCTGAGATACAGGTCAAACTTCCAGTTTTCTTGCTTATCTTGGACCTCCCCCGCAGTGTGCTTTCTACTGTCCAGTCAAACAGCTGGTAATGTCTCAACATCAGGGAATTCTGTCTTTCCTAATGGGAAGTGTTTTCTCATTTAATTCTAACCACTTCAGTTCCTGTTAAACTGCACAAGACCAGCATAAACTAAGATGATGTGATCGGAGTGGTCCATCTTTAGTCCTTAAATGAGCAGGATCCAGATGCCAGTGTTTGGACTATGCTGTCTCCTGCGCCTGCTCAGCCCTCTTGTCTTTATGTCAGCCTTACAGCTGTGGAGCATCAGCTTTCTAACCACATCACTACTTGAATCTCTTGTGGTCCCTTACTGCCTTTTCAATTTGCTCATCTTGCTGTCTAAGCTGGCAAAGGAGCAGCAAAAAGTGGCAGGGATCAGGATAGAGGAACTGCAACGGTTTTTGTTGTCCGTAGAGCTTCATACTTTATCTGGCACTGTTAATAGTGTAGTCAGTTTTACTGATCATTAACTAGTCCACTGTATGTCTTAATGTACCAGCTGGAAATTTAGAATTGTATTGTTTAGGTAGGAAAGAATAGTTTGGTGCACTTTTTCTGTCCCTTCCAAGAAGATACTTCCTAGTAGCAACAAAAATAAATCTGAAGCCATAGAAACAACATAGAGATGGCTGTAAAAACAGAGGAAAATTCAGAAGCAAAAAAGGATAGTCCAGAAGCAAGTATTGGGACTTCATGTGATCCTCTTTAAAACATCTATTAAAGTACTAGCAAAGGAATTTAAATACCCCTTTAATAAGCAGTATTTAAGTGAGCTGTAACAGAATCAAAATAATTTTTAAAACCAATCTGATTAATAGTGAAAAAAAACAACAAAAATTATTTCCCTATTATGCATTTTTTTTTTTTTTTTGTTATTTGCAGAGAGAAAGTGAGCAAAATTGCTTATTTTTCATTAGCTTTTCATAAATTGCTATTTTCATTAGAATTGTGGCCTTGTACACAGAGCATCTAACTGACATTGCCTGTCTTTCTCTAGGAAACAATGGAATGGTCCTTGGGGCAGGAAGTGTAGGCTTTTTCAATAAAATAAGAGGGGTTTATAGGCAACATTAGGTACGAAAAAACTTACAATGCTAATTATTAGGCAACTATAACTATAACAGAAATAAGTAAATTTTAGTGACTAATTAAGGGCTGATGTACAAGTTTCATATAATGCTATATTTGCTGTTTTTCTAGTGGCCAAATGTAAATCTAAGGAACTATAAAGATGAACAGTTGCACAGGTATGTAAAAAATTATGTAGACTTCCTTTGAAGTTCCTTTTAATTTCTTCCTTTGAAGAAAGAAATTACCAAAACCTCATTTAATATTGCAATAAACTATTTGGTGGGTCTGTCACATTTCTAAAACAACCTATAGATAAGCAGCAAAAATGAAAATTTAGATAATTAGTTTGCAATATTTGCCTTAAAAAAAGTCTCTAATGTTTAGTGGTTTCTTTTCTGTGCACAGGTACTTTGTGTATTTATTTCCTTAACAAAAATCATACCAGCTTTGCAAACACCCAATTGCATTTTAAACCTTAAAGTATTACCTCTTTGATATTTCATGCATTAGTGTTTGAGGTCAGCACTTGACACCATATTTTGACATAATAGGTCCACAGTTGTACAGTTACATAGTTACAGCTTTCCTCAAAAAAAAAAAAGGAAGTTGTTTCTAGGTGCTATAATGGCAAGGAAGCATGTATAATTTGGAAGAACAACAAAACAAAACAAACCACTAAGCAGTACAGCTCTGTTTCCTTTCATGTTTAGTAGCATTAAGACATTTTTATTACTTGTGTGCATTGTGATAATAATGTTACTGATGAGTTCTTGGATGTCCCTCTTAACGTGCATTTCAGAAATTGATTTGATCAGTTTGAAGAGTAGTTCTGTATTTGTAGGTATGGAAAGCTACTTCTACATGAATTTCAGGGAAAACCTAAAGCTAAAACATATGCTGAAAGGCTCAAGCTGCTCCATTTTTAATTTTTACTAAAAAATAATCAGACTACTTTTAGTGACTAATATATACTATTCTTACCACAAGTGGTAGTCCTCTTATAGGCATAGGTTAATTTTACATTTGTATTTTTTTCTGTTTTCGTCCCTGAACGGTAATTGCCAAGCTGTACTTCGTGGTAAAGGTTTATTATTCAAATCTGCTGATTTATAATGTTGCTTCCCTAAAGCAAAGTCTGTAGTCCCAGCTGTGGTGTTCCACTCCCCCCCATCTGCCTGCCTGGGACACTGCTGCTCAAGCATTGTTCAGTGCCTAAATAATTTTGTTCCTAATAAATGGAGAATATATAGGATTGAGTTAGTGTAAAAGTTCAGCAGTTTTTTGATCCTTTCTGCAGGTTTGTGGGCTAGATGCTTTAATGGCTTTAAAATGCTGTTCCTTGTGTTTAATTATAACTAATTAAACCCCAAATCTCTCTAGTTTCACTGCTGATTATAAAAAAAAAAATCAACTACTTTACTTTTTACATGTAAACTACATTTGTCGTCCTTCCATAATTCAATTTCCTTTTACTTTTAGCATTCTTGTGATGATCTTATGACTGTTACAGTGAAATTCCAGATACTTTTAATATAGTTTCCTTCATTTCTAAGTGATAATGCAGTGTGTATACACATATGTGTATATACATACATATGTACATTAAGTATACACATAATACACATATATAAATATTCATATTAATACATATAATATCTTTATTGCTAATAACCCAGAATAAAATGCATTTCATTTGACAAAATTCAAAGAAGCCCACAGATTTCTTTTATAACTGGCCCTATATTTGGAGTTGAGTATAGTGGCTTACTCTCACCTTTTTTAACTAAAGGAGCAGTGCTTTAAGTTTTCTTCATCCCTGACATGTACCTTCAGACAGAACACTGTGTGTTATTTTAAAGCACAAATGTGTAATTTTTTTTGATGAAGAACTGGGGAGAGGAGACACTGCTGGAGATTTATTCCTGCAATGCAAAAGCCAAGTTATATTGCTCACCATGATTTCAGAAAGTTGGAGTGAGAGTCTGCGTTTGCTATTACTGTGTTAATGCTTCAGAAATGCTTAAGTGAGGTCAATGAAAGTCCTGTTGCTGAATAAATTCAGTCTTTCCTTGGCAGAGCACAAAAATGTGGTTTGACAGCAGGATAAACTATTGTAGCTGGGGAAAACGCATGTCACAGGTTCTTTTTTAGCTCTTTGTAAGACTAGATAATATAGTCTTTTAAACTCACCCTGGGGTAAATTACAGCAGACTAAATTATACGCATGAGACTGAGGAGGAAACTATGGCTTCTAAGAACATGGAGATTTTGAGTTCCTTTTCTTAAGTCATAGCACAGAAAACCCTTTATAGCACACGGCACATCTGCATCTCTGAAATTGTCTGGATAGAATCATTACTATCTGCTACTCTTCTAATAACTTTTGAAAATTTATTGCCAATAAGCCAATCTAGTGATAATGTGTTTTCTGCCAGCATCATTTTGTACTGTGAGACTGTCATTCCAACATCTTGTTATACTGAAAAATACTTTTTTTTTTTTTTTTTTTTACTTCCCATAGGTTTGTAAGGAGATTGCTCTATTTTTACAAGCCGAGCAGTAAACTGTATGCCAACCTGGATCTGGACTATGCCAAGGCTAAGCAACTCACTGTGGTGGGTTGTCAATTTACTGAATTTCTTCTTGAATCAGAAGAGGTAAGAGATTTTCAGCTACAAGGCTGGAATGAATAGTGCTTCTGTATTCCACTTGCAGAGGAACCTTAATTTTAGTTAAGTCTTCTGCAGACTTTGGGTCTTAAATCTAAAATGATCAGTCTAATTAAGAAATGTAACTTCAAGTCTTTCGTTATCCACATGAAACACTGAGGAACATGACTGTTTAAAGAGAAGTTCTATTAAATACAGCTTTATTAAACGCAGCTTAGGGTTTGGAGTTTTTTTAGATTTTGCTGTGTATAATCTTCTTTTCTTTGCCTCCTTTTTTCTTGTGTGCTAAAGACTTCCGGGCCTCAGGCCAGAGGAAAATGTCATTGAACAATCCTTTTCCTAGAAAGGATAGAATTGATCCTAAAATGTCTCCAAGCTAAACTCCTTTTATTTGCTTCAAAATCTTTTTTTTTTTTTTTCCAGTCTGAATTGTGTTTGCCAGACAGCATTTCTATTTTGTATATTGTGTTTATACATTGAAATTTTAAATTATGGATTTAGGAAGAGACGCCCAGTCCCATTACTAGTAATGCTAAATGCTTTTAATCTGTTTTAGGATGGACAAGGTTACCTGGAGGAATTGGTTAAAGATATTGTACATTGGCTCAACTCTTCATCAGGAATGAAACCTGAACGTAGTCTTCAAAATAATGGGTTACTAAATACCCTTAGCCAGCACTACTTTCTGTTTTTTGGTACCCTATCTTGTCACCCTCATGGAGTGAAAATGCTTGAAAAATGTAATGTGTTTCAGTGGTGAGTGTTTTTATTCTGTTTGAATTGTGCTTATGGTTATAATAATTATGAAAACTGTAAACTGTGCATGAGGACCATGTCTGTAAAGCTGGAATCTTTTTATATTTCTTGTGATTTACAAGTGAAGACCCCCAGTCTTCAAGACACCAGAGGGGTGTCATGTTTGGTTTTTTGGTTTTCCTTTTTTAAGAAGGGATCTTCTGTTCTGTTATTACTGAACACATGGGTAATTGTGTCACAGAACAGCTTACTTTTTGCTGTTCACGCCTATGTGACAGAAAACAGTATCAGGACGGATGATACTGTACTGAAAAAAAAGGAAAAACAAAACAACACACAAAACCTCAAAACCTGGCAGATAACATACTGTTTGTGAAATATGATAATGCATATTCTAATTAAACTTCAGTCCAATATAATTGAGTGAGGCTGTGAAATTAAAAATTTTGTTCAGGTACAAAACCTTAATTCCTTTAAAAGTAAATGGCCTATTTTTGCATACTTATTTTAAATATGATGAACTTCAATTGAGAGTTCAAATTTTTTTCAATTAAGTTAATTTCATTGATTATTAGAATACAAGTTTTCTAGTAGCTTCAGAAAATTTTTTGCAATAAAATTTAAACAGTCAATAGGACTAACCCTATGGCAAGCTTTATACCGCATGTTTTACAATCAGGAATTGTTCACAGAGCCTTATGAACATTAATTTTTGTACTTAAAATCACTAATTAAAGTATGCTGATGGAATTATTACAACTCAATTATAAAAAATGCTGGCTTCAGATTTTTCCCCTCGCAGTTTAGTGTATTATTTAGTCCTCATTTGACTCTTAACAACTGTAACAGTTTAAAGTTACTCCATTTCATATGAGACCTTTTTTTATACTGCAATTATAGAAATCCTAATTCAAAGTACTTAAGTTTAAATTATTGATTGAATATATAAATAGGTTAGAGTTGATTCCAATACTGATTTTATTTTCTCTCCTTTCACTTTTCCCCCAGTCTTCTGAATCTTTGTTCTTTGAAGAATCAGGATCACTTGTTAAAGCTGACTGTTTCTAGTTTGGATTACAGCAGAGATGGGTTAGCAAGAGTCATCCTTTCAAAAATCCTGACAGCAGCTACTGATGTAAGTTCGGTTCAACTTGAGTTCCACTGTTATTTGCCACTAGACTTTTATTTTGTTATCTAAGGTGTATGGATTTATATTTAAGCGATTAAATATACAGAAAGGCTTTTATTTTTTGTATTCAGAGAAATGAAGCTCCTACTTAGATAGCTTTGAAATTTGCTGTGAGCTTCACATCATATATTCTATTTATGCTTAAGAAATTAAGTCGCCCAAATAAAGGGTTCTCTCAAATGTGAACGGGGTTCAGGTCTTTAAAGGCATCATCAAAGTAACATTATTGGCTAGGTCAGTGGATATCCTAAATCAGTTGTGAAGGCATAGTTTTCACAAGCAGAAGTGTGTATTTCTAGCAGGTTAGACAGGTTAATAATAGGCAGGCTAACTTTCCAGGGATATGTATTGTTTGGATAGTGACTGAGGTACTGTGGTGGAGCTCGGTAGAACTTCTTGGTCCTGGAACGAGGGGGTGTTTCAGAAGCTGGCACTGGGATTTGTACTTCTGAATCAAAAAAGGTGAGTGGAAATAAAACAAAGACTTAGGCAGACTTGGGAGAAGGAGCTCTTGGACTTTTAAAAGAGACATCAGTCAGGTTTAACCTAGTAGACAACCAAGCATTGCAACAGGGAAAAGATAACTGAAATCTAACTAGGAAAGAACTTTTATTACTTCAGGGAGAGTACTCTTGTGTGGACAATACAATATATTCTAGAGTGGATACAAGAGGAAATAAGGTAGATGGTAGCTTTAAATGTCTCCTTGTGTTTTGGAAGACAAGACAGAAATAAAGAAATTGAGTCTGTTTGACACTGTCAAAAACACAGTGATTCTTATGAGTGGAAAATGGAGTCTGAAAGTAATTAAAGATAGTTTGTATTGAAGGAATGACTCATTGAAAGAAGATGACATTCCCACTCAATTTTTAAGCAATCTTTCAATGAAGTGATGACTGATATCCTTTCTCCAGAGTTGTTTTATGCCTAGTCTGAGCAAGAAAACAAATTAGTATATTGTGAGGACACATGCCTGTGTCTTCATTAGACTTCTAAGCTCTTCGTTAAATGACTGTCAGTTAAGAGCAACTTAGATTGTGGAACTTCATTTAGCTGTTTCTGTTGAGAATTTATGTCAGTGGTACTGCTCTCTGTCCTCTCCACCACCTCCCAGCTATTTTTACCTAATAAAAAGACGTGTATGTGAGGGAAGAGCACTCCAGCATTTCCATTTCTTCCAAATGCAGCTAGCTAACCATTAGAAAAAAGTCCAGGCATGCTGTCATAATCTTCTCTACAAATTATACAGTTACACTAACAATTTAAGGCATTTCATTAGAAATTAGTGTCTGATGTAGATTTTGGAAAATATTTATTGATTCTGATATCTGAAAATATGAAGACTTGAATTCTGAGAGAGGCACTTTGAAATATTTTCAAGCATCCAATACTTATACCACCAACATCTTTATGTAGTGAAGAATGTGTTGATGTCCTTCCAAATGTTCTGTGAAGATCTACTTCTCTGATTTCTATCTTAGCAGGGGGAAGGGGAAAAAAAAAAAAAGACAAAACAAAATGTGTACACCCCTGATACAGTTATTACTAGTTAGAAGCAGGCTGGCTTGAAATGGGCTGCAGGTACTGTCTGAACATGCTGTCCCAAGTGTGTGCAAAGCCAGAAACCAGTTGAAAGCTACTGCTGCTCTTAGTGATCATAACTAAAAATACATTTTCTACCTGTTTGTAATTCAGCTTAAGGAACAGCAGGCAGTAGACATTTCTTGTACTTCGGACATGAATAGGGTAAACGTTGCTATCCAGCACCTTAGAAATTAAGAAAGCTTATAATGCTCAGCAGAGATTAAGTAACTGGTGTATTTTTGGCAGTCTTCTGAAATGTAGGAGAAGAGAAATTATTAGAGTATGTCTTCACACTGGCCAAGCACTGACTTAGTCTGTAGGTAAAACTGTAGCCTTTCTCTCTCGTGCACCACAGGAGTCCATAGTGGTTAATATCAGAGCTGGGCGTGCATTCGGGCATAGCACGTCTCTAACTGCGGAGGCAGCCGGCCAAGCTCATAGCCGGGGTGTGTTCTGACTTAAATTCCACTGTTTAGAGTGCAGTGTTGCACTGGATGAGACTGTACTCTGCTTTTATTTGTGTGCTGTAATGCCATGAGAATCTCTTCTATATTTTCTTTTAAAAAAATGTAACGTATTTAAGAAAGGTTGCAGGAACAATCATAAAGCCACGGATGAAATGTGAAGAGTAAGTTTATTCTCGTTACCTCGCGACCTGGGGCACACAAGTGCCACAGAGCTCGGCCCTCCCCCCAGCGAGCAAAAGCTGCTTGCTTCAGTACATCAAGGCTTCTTGCAGGCATAGTTTTCCAGTGTGCCTAGATCTCTCCCAGAGCAGGGCAGGAACCTCAGATGATAAGGTGCCTCTGAGTCCTTCACAGACCTTTGTTATCTAAACACAGATGTTCTACTTGTCAAGCACACAAAGCAAAGCAACAATTACTGAGATATATGTGCTTTTTGACATCACAGCTGCAGTTCTCTTGAGCATGTTTACAGTCCTCTGTGCCAATCTTTGTTATTTTCCCACAGTGCTAAACTTCACTAATTGTTGAAATTTTGTTAGAAGTTGTGATGGAAATATTTTTTGAATATTGACTTTAATATACAGAACCTGTAGGGTCACTGCAGTATTTAGATATATAGGTTTGAAGTTAACCCATTCACTTTCTATCTCTGAGAAACTTTTCCATTTCATGTGTTTAAACTGATTTGGTTTCCATGATTTCTTTTTTTTTCCTTTTTTCTTTAATAATGTGGTTTTGCCTGTCATTATAGGATAGAGTCAAAGAATAACAGAATCATAGAATGCTTTGGGTTGGAAGGGCCCTTTAAAAGTCATCTGGTATAACTCCTCTGCAATAAACAGGGTCATCTTCCACTAGATTGGGTTGCTCTGAGCCCCATCCAACCTGACCTTAAATGTTCCCAGGGATGATGTGTCTACCACCTCTCTGGGCAACCTGGTCCAGTGTTTCACCACCCTCATTGTAAAAAAATTCTTCCTGGTATCTAGTCTGAATCTACCCTCCTTCAGTTTAAAACCATTACCACTTGTCCTGTCTCTTCTGCTCACCACTTGTCCGATAGGG